ATAGACTTGCGTACTTGCCAATACCCGAGTGAGGTATTTAGGCTGTATCTGAAGCATTTCCGATATCATTCCTTATCAGAACTACTCTATCAACGGGTTTCTCCACAAGCACCAGAGCAGCTGTCATTACACATGACTTCAGCTTTTTATAGCACCGTACCACTAATTTATTATTTTTTTATTTAAGTACCTCAAAACCATGATGAACGGTGACTTCTCAGTCTTCATTATTTCACATCAGAAAGATGATCAATGAGTAATTTATGCCGCTCATACTGAAACAAACTTTACAAAGTCTGTCTCTATTCAGAAAAAAAATGTATTCATTGACAACAAAAAGATTGTGTGCAACCCCAGGCCACATCTAGAAAACTGTGTATACACCTGATCTGAATCTGAGGTGTGTACATTCTCACTGTACACTATCCCATACCTACATATCCCAACATTTATACACAGGGCCCCAGAGGTCATTTACAATGCAACCGCCAAGCTACTTGCTAGCTACCTAACATGGGGCAATCACCTAAATTGTTTATGTACAGGAAGACTTGATACTCTGTTGGTCTTTTTTGACAAAATGTCATGACATCACACTGAACCTGAAGATAAGACGGATGCATTAAGCATGTTTTGATCTTTGAAGGCAACTGGATTTGCTTGACCTCAAGCAAGTCCAGTTGCCTTCGTAAAGCTTTAAGAGATACCATGACCTGGACCTGGAGAATCTTCACAGCCATATTTTGGTTTTAAAGATACTGAAGAAATTGGGTATTGGATACAAGGCTATTTGATAGAAAAAACAATCCCAATCAGTGATTACTAATGTTGTTCTCAAGGTACTGCAAACCCAAGACAGAATCTCAGGCAAGAATAAAGGACAAGAAATCGACAGAAAGGCTGGTTAAACTAATCTTCACGACTACGACCTGTATATCAAAAACTCATCTGAATTTCTTATTCATCTTATTCTAGATGTATTGTGCTTCGATCTATATGTTTTTCCCTAAAACTCAGCTCAATATTAATTACACCTTTGGAAGATTTGGGATCTCCACTGAAATTAAAAATAATGTTTGGCTGCACAGCAGGACTTTGTATTAACTGACACTCCAGAGCATCAGTGAGGTCTGACTTGGTTGATATGGATAAATCAATGGAAATGGATATATCACATAATAAATATTAGCACTCTCAGATATGTATCTGAATAAATCGTTTCTTATTTGGATGAATTTCGGGCTGTTGTATTCCCCTTGTCCCTGACACCTCACACAGGCCAAATAAAACAGAGTCTGCTAGAAACATGAATCTTTAGACAGCTCAAGTGCCAACAAGCTTGTAATCCCTTTCACTGGACCATTACTGTCAAAAAAGACTCCAAATCATAGCCTACATAATTCATAACAGCTTTCTGATGATCAGAGGTTCTGTCGACTTAGAAAGATTTTGAATTTCTTTGAAAAACACAAGATTTCTTGCCTGAGCCTAAACTACATTTAAGGGTAGAGACCAGTCTCTGAACACTTCAGAACATGCATCATCCTGACTCACTAGGGATACGGCAGTGCGCTGCTCTTTACCTGAGGTGGGCAAGTTAAGAAGGTGTATTTCTGCAAAATAAAACAGTTAGTTTTCATCTTTCAAGTCTTTTCTCAAGTAAAACAGAAACAACTGCTTGAAAATACTTCACATTTTCTTTTATTTCCCAACATGGGCCACAAAGGGCAATCATGAGTCCAGTCCACACACAAAAATAAACTTTGACAAGTGACACAAAGGTGAGATTTATGCCTCATCAAAGGTGATTTTGAGCAGACCTTCTCAGTTTTAAAAGAGGAAAGACTATTTCGCAAATATACATCTCGTTAACTTTCCCCACATACAATACGGAGCTGTGCAAAGTTGTTTCCTGAAACTTTTCTGTGGGAACCATCGAGGAGCATCACCCACTCAGTGGATAAGATACTAGACAACTAACAGTACAAAGCAATTACTTATGAGCCACTGTTACATTTACTAACCAAGATGCAGAGAAAAACACAAGAAAACATGGATGAACAGCTGGATGAAAATTTTAACTCTGAAAAAATAAAATAAAGAGTCATTTGTTGCAGCATAGACGTTCACACAGACGCAGCCTAGAATGACATCAGCCTGTTATTGGATGCACCTTTTTTAGTTGCATATTGAGGTCACTGTGCCAGAAATCCTGCCTTGCCTTTGTCTGACACTCACGACTGAAGACTTGATGCGCATGCACAGCTTCTCCACGAGCCTCTTGAGCTATGATCACCTAAAAGGCATAAAATGACCTAAAACAGTATGTTTTTAGATTTACCATGATGCATAATGTGTTTTCTGACAAAGCACTGAACCACATGCTGTGTGACTGCATCCGCTGTGACACTTTGAAAAGCCATGCAAGTCAATTCTGCTCAGCAGCTCGAGGATGTGGAAATACATGAATATCAGTTATTTTAGAGATGAGACTGAAAGCATATTTTCCCTTGAAAATGCAAAAGTATTCACAGAGGGTGACCAAAGCTCATTTCTTCCTGCACTTGTCAGTTTCAGCTTTGTAAAAAGTTGCACAGAATTGCTGTGAATTATTCCCAAAGACAAGACGCAGAAAGGCAGATCAAAGTGACAGTCTAATGGGGAGAGCTCCAGGGTCTGTAACACAAGACCCCATTGAACGTCTGCACTCATTTCTACATGAAAAAGGGAAGGAAGGAAAAAGGGGAAATTGACAAATAAAATATAATCACATGTACTGATGTAATCCAGGTCTAATTAGATCAATTCCAGTTAATCTACACACTGTTGTGACAGCTAGTGCAGCCAATCCAAGCCTACATACGGATGCTAGCCTTGTAAGACTACGCAACAGCCTGTAAGACATGTATTTTAGGATCAAGACCCTCATTTGGACAGCAGGAGGATTAAAACAGACTGCATCAATATTAAATGAAACTTCCCATTTCAGGAGACCTCGGGGTGTTTGCCACAACTATTTGTCTAGTCTGAGTCAGGAAACACGCTTTAGAATATAACAAACTCCAGGGACATAAAAAAACATCTCATCTGGGAACAGAGGGACTATTAATACCACACAAGGCAGCGTTATGGTATTTTTATTTACACAGCGCTGGTGTTATTATTGTGGAATAGACAAGAAGATGCATGTCAACACAGGTAAACATCAAACTGTTCAGTGTAGCACACTAACAAAATGAATAAAATAAAGTAAAAAATCATTCTTGGATTTATTTCCTGAACCTTGCCACTATTGCTAAATACACACTAAAGAGCTGGGTACAAACACAGGGATGCAGTGTGACAGGTGTGTTCACTAAAACTCAATTTACTCTCCATTTTATCTTTAGATCGTAGATATGTGCTATTGCTACGTAGCCATTGTTAGCATTAGCAGCTTTTTACTTAAGCTGTCTTGCCAAGAGCTTCAGCTACTGTTTTGTTTACAATACAAGAGGTTATAATACGTCCTCTGAGCAGCTACTTCTTCAGGGCAGACTGGAAGCTACAGTGACTCGGCATCAGAAAAGGATGAGACGGGCCAGCCAGACCAAGCTAGCTGGTTAGCATGCTAAACAGCAAAATGAGAGAGTTGCTTTCCACCTCTGGAGACAGCTCTTAGTGAGTAAACGAATGAAGTTTGATGCTGAACGTTTCTTCTTCACTGTTAAGTAAACAGCTGTTAATGCTAACGTTAGCTATGTAGCAATAGCAAAACTTACAAATAGCTTCCTTAAAAAGGTAGAATATGTAACTTTTCCATATTAAAGTTTCTAAAAACAACTAGAACTCTGTTGTGTATTTTGTTGAGCTGTGTACTTACATTACCCCAAATGTTTCCAGCAATTTTCAAACCAAGAGAAATCTGTAATTTCAATCAAGGTTACCTGTCAATGGCATCATGGCGATACACCTTTTGAATCTGGGTTGTTTTTCGCAATATATTTCATCTGGATGAAGGATTTTATTAATTGGATGTCTGGATCTTAAATCATCAGAAAAGCAAGCTGAGAAAACGTTAACAACAGTCTCAGCTCTCACATTCTTCCTCACATCCAGTGCCTGCAGAACCGTGTTGGAGAAACACTGATTTTTAAAGTGAAACAGCTTTTCTCAGTGTTTCTACCAGCTTTAATCTCCTGGTCTGTTTGTTTTGGAGAGGAGGACATATCTGTGGATACATAGGCTGCCGATAAAAACCTTCTGAACAACTGACACTGAAGGAATCCTAACCAGGAGAACCTGACTGCAACTGCCATAATCCCACGCTACTTCACGACACCACCAAACTCCCTCTTTTGTTATTATTTTGACCGAGAGACCCCAAGCAGCAGAAAATTACATTCTGTGCTTTTAAGCAAAGATCCACAGACAGTAGTTAGTGTTATGAAATTGATGAAAAGAAATTTCAAATCGACCACACTGTGAGATAAATGGTGAATTATTTCTCAGTTTGTTTTAGATGATCACTGACTGGAGGTCAGCTTTTACCCACCCTATTACTGACCACCTCACCACCATCTACACCTATAAACACACTGCAATTCTACTGTAGTTGTTTGAAAATGTGTTTAACTGTAATAAAATGTTTTATATTCATTTGAATTACAAATTTGGTCAGCTGACTAAAATAATTCATTCATTTAACACCCCTGAAACTCACTTTAGATATGTTATAGAATGGCTTTGATGATATTGTAGCAGGAATACAATATTAACCCACTGATAGCTACATGTGTAAATGTGTTTTCCAGGCTGTGAATGCTATATTTACACACGTGTATAAAAATATCTTCAACTGTGAATCGGATGGAGGATTCTCTCTGAAGTGGACACGCTCCTGTCTGTGATAAACCAACATCTGCAAAGGCAGAGCACGGTCAGGCTGAGAGGATCTCATCCACACAGGAACGATACCCCACACAAACAAATACAAACACGACCTGTACGTTCATTCTTACCTCGGGTTTCAGTGAAAGTGATGCTTTTGTCTTTGCAGACAGTTGAGACGTTAGCTCATTTCGGCAGCATCAGTGCCTCAGTGTGTTGCAGAGACGATCCTGAACAGGAACACGGGACATGAGGTGGAAATGGACGGAGGGACACCGGCGGACGCGAAAACTGTCGGTAAAAGCACCGGCGGGCTCAGTCATGAGATTCTCCCACAAATAGCCGGGGCTCTTCGGTGTTGTTTACAGGCTCAGCTGGTTCTCAACAGACAGAGAAAGAGACGGAGAGCGGAGCTGCCTAGATACCGACTCCACTCTGCTGTGTCCAGTCTCCACCTACCGCTGAGGGAAAATCCCGCGCTCAAATCTCGCGGTGATACTCGACCTCTCTAATTGTCGCACGTGATAATCCTTGAATTTTGTGCCCATTTTTATGACAGCCGTGGAAGAAGTATTCAGATCGTTTACATAAGAAACAGACACCACGGTCTAAAACCACTCGATTACAATCTACTTAATTAAAAGTATTAACAGCAAAATGTACCTATAGACTGGTGTTTTATAACAATCCAGCAATGTATAACATACTGTGTTATATGTCATACTGTTTACATAATATCTTTTTTAACTACTATTACAGAATGCACTCACGAGCGTACAATTAAATATGATTTTATTGTGTACTTGATTGTATAGGCTATTTGAACACATATTTAGATACATTTAAATATACACTTATTGTTATTTATACATATCTGGATGTGTATTTACAGTAAATCACTGAAATTTTGTTGTCAATATGTCTTTTTGTTATATATAGAGACATATATATGTCTCTCTCTCTCTCTCTCTCTCTCTATATATATATATATATATGTATATATATATATATATATATACATATAAAGATATATATATGTATGTATCTCTTGGGACATGGAAGAGTAAATGCTTGGACATCCAGAAGAACCATGAGAAATAATGAGTGTTAGTGTTGGCCTTCCTCATAGCATAGGAACAGCACAGGTGTTACTAATAACATTAATGATGGCCCCAGGCTATTCAGGTGTGTCAGTAAGCCAAAGCAGTGATAGTCAGCCAGCATGAACAACACCAGGACCCTAAAACTGAAGCAGTTAAATTCAAAGCCACCATTCATTTTACTGTGGAAAAAGTGCAGCCCAGTGCAGTTAACATTTCACCGAAGCTCTGCTGCCTAACAGATGAAGCAGAAACCCTGAAGAAGACCTCCATTAATGCCCTTGGTATGAGGAATATAAAGGTCATGGTGAGTCTGGGTGAATGTGATCTTGAAATGTAAGGGTCCAATTGCTTTTTAATAATAAAGGATGAAGGTCTCTGTGTGAAATGAAATTTATTTTAAAAATTAAGAAAATGAAATGAATGACACATCCATGACACAGTGAAGAACTGTGACCCACCCAAGACTCATAAGTAGCCCTGTCTCTGTTTTATTCTGAGGTTATTGGTGAAGGGAAAAGGAGCAAAATTAGTCTGTTAATCCCCCACTGGAACGGGTCATTTGGCAGATGTGAGGAAATATGTGCTGGTCATTTATCTGGAGAACACACACTAGATTTCTTCCCTCCAAACAAACTCCTGTAAACCTCCTGAGAAGAACACTGTGGTGACAAATCAAACACAAAGCAACACCCCCATCTTGAGTTTGAAACAAGAAAAGCAAGTGGCACTGTCTGATATTTTTATTGCTGTGTGTATGACATAATATCCAAAGCACTGGAGCTATTTGCAGACTCAGTAAGCACACACATGGCCTGTAGAATTTTGTCTTAAACTCTTGCTGAAACCCAACATACCTTCAGATGACAAAGAAAAGGAAAATCCAACATAATTTGACTCAGTAAGGTGTCGTCGTATTACAAGTGTCCACAACAGACTCAAATAATGCTCCTTGTCATCAATCCTCCAAGTCTCTGAATTCTACTGGAGGAGTTACAATCCTTCATAAAGATCTTCCCTCATGTGTGATTTGATGATGGTGGTGGAGGGCGTCAATCATATCACTCCATAGGTATTTCATTGGGTTGGACATCAGGTGACCAACATTCAATGTCAGGACAATGTCAGTTTGAGTTTAAGACTGATGACAGGTAACATTTTGATTGTTTTCATTTGTGTTGTTAAGTAACAAAAGTCCTATGTCTTCCAAATTTCTGATGTGTGAACTGTTAAGATTTTAAAGGTACTACTAATCTTACCAATACTGCTTACTGATCCGACCCAGTACTCTAACGGTTCTCTTATCAGTTCCTTTTGTTATTCTTGAAAAAAGCAAAAAATAAGAACTGCATGAACATGCTTTATTTTATCACATGTACTGTATATAGATGAACCCTCTTGAGAAGCAAGCAGCAACAGCATTGTTTTGAACAAATCACTAATGGTTAATCATTAACCCATGTTAGTATAGTTTAGTTAACTCTGTGTGTGGGCACCACACTGCTAACATACATAACATACCCGAGGTAATGACAGATGAACTACGAGCTAGGCAGTTGAAAACAGCATTTCTCTATGAAACTGGCAGGACTAGCTAGACTGTGGCAGAGGACATCAGTTGAGTAGGAGGTCCTCCAGTGTGGCCCAGGACACATTTGCGTTCACACTGCTAATGAAGAATGTGTCCACATGTGGCCAGATCTCAAATGCATCCTCGATGTGTCCTGAGCTGACCTCTTGTGACACGGATGTTAATGCCAGGTCTGAACAGAGCCTCCCTCTCTCTCTCTCTCTCTCTCTCTCTCTCTCTCTCTCTGTGCAAGCTCTCATCTGGATTGGGATAAATGCATCATAGATGAATGTCTGTAACAGAAACATAAGATGACATAAATTGTAAAAAAAGATCATTTTTATTATGCATTGATAAATATGAGATGTATTTTCTTAATTTCTCCAGAACAGAAACATCAGAGCTTATTGATATGGGCCAGTTTAATATTGCTGACATGTAAAATACCCACATTCTCGTTGCGAGGTATGATGACCAAAACTCAGAACCTGCTGAACGTCACAATGTCAATTAGCCAACATTACCCAGATAGCAAAATGAAACTTCTGGCCCAACATATGCTTTGGTCCTCTGCCCGAGCTTGACCCATATACAGTACCTCCACATCAGGGCAGAGTCAGTCAGAATTGGTTCAGATGTGGAAGTAGCATATGACAATCATGCTTTAATGAGCCAGATTTGGGCCATGGAACCTGGATTGTACTGGGCCAGCAGAAAACAAGCATGTGGCCCAAGTATGGGCCGGATATATTTTGCTATCTGGATACGTTTTAACCCAATTTTTATTTCCAAAATTTTACGTCTGTTGGACGTTATGGTCGTGAGAGTCCAACGACTTTCTCTCATTACTGAAGTCCAGCGTCTGCTGGGTTATAACCTGTGTATGGGGAGAAGACATCACTCCCGTCAGGATAGAATTGTTTCATTATAGGATAAAGGTGATCACTCAAAATAACTATTTAATTTATTTATACCGGTAAATCCCCATAATTCTCAATAATGGCAATTCCCCAGACTATGCCAGGAAACTGACCTACTCAACATAATGAATCACTTCAGGTCTGTACTCTATGGGTCTACAGCACACATTGATTCACCCACTTTTCAGTATAATGGTGAAGGATGACTCATCTGGACAGATTACTTTTGGTTTAGTGTGACTGCAGCTCCTGGCTGCCACCTCTGCCCCGTTAATCAATCTCCTTCCAAACTCATTTAGAACTTTCCTCTCTCCATCTCATCTTGATCCAAAATCAAGTTCAGCCCTGTTTAGCATTTTTATACATAACAGACTATGATAGCCTGCAAACTGCTCAACTGTGTCATGCAGTCGTGCATGGAAGCACCTACATCTGTTATGCGTCTCTAAAGCAGAGATGTAGCTAATTACATTAATCATGACTGCATTCCAACTGTGTGAAAGCTGACAGATGCTGGTTCACTGGGCATGGTTAAGAGGACCCCTAAATGGAACTGGGCAATCATTAATGTTATTAAACACCTGGATTTTTTTCATTTATCAATTAACTTCATACAAAGCGCAATAAAAAGAACAAAAGCTAAATGAAACACACTCACTCTGTCTCACTGTCTCCTGTCTCTTCATGTGATACCAGACTGGCTCCATGCTGCGGAGATCAGGATTCTGTGGGGACGAAACCATCTGTTGCAGGACGCCTTGTTCTTCTGTTCCCTGAAGATAGTTCTCCATGACTCTGACTGTATTTTTAGGCTCATTGTCCTGCTGCAGTCAGACACCTCCCTGATGGTGTTGCATGATGGGTAAAAATTTAAACATTTGAAGCACCTTAAAAGTTTACACAGTAATGTATCTGGTCGTCTTTCTTTTTAACATTCTTTGGATTCCCCCACAAAACCTTATTACATTCTCACATGGGGCTGTTTTCTACTGTTAGAATACATCTCCTATCCTCGTTGTTGTGCCTAACACTTTAAGTGGTCAAAAATAAAATTATACCCTTTTGATTATGTTTTTCTTAATATTCACTACAGTAAATACAGCACTAAACCTTTAGGTCAAAGTTCAAAGAAAAAAACATTAAGTTCATATTTTATCATGCCATGCAAACAGTGAAAATACGCAAATTACTGAAAAGTCCATTTTTGAATGAATCAGGTGATGCAAAGAAATACAGTAGTGTTGAGAAGGAATATTAGCAGCTCACACATGGTGCAGGTTGGGAGTTCTCTGTAGCAGCTATAGCAGAGAAAAAGGAGGAAAGGAACCTACTCCATGTCAGTATTTGATAAAAAAATAAATAAAATAAAATAAAGTATTAATTTCTTTGTGGAAACAATTGGTTATGCCTCCAAACCAACCACAAATTTTTCTTAGAAGGAACACTCTCAGGTAAGTCAAATAAAGGTCATAACACGTCTGTCTCCGTCCGTCACTAGATGTCACTGCACGCCCTTTATTGAAAAGACCACTCAGCACTTACAGGAAACGGATCTACTGCACAAAAGCGCAATCAGTGGAAATATTTTATCACCAGCTATGATGCGACTGATCGTCACGTGTTGGGTGGTGACGTATTTGTATAAAACCGTAGATTATGGGGCGACAGATTGCAAGTCCTGATGTTCATATCACAGAACAAGCTAATTTAAAACGGTCCCTTTCATTAAGACACACGGTCCTTTGTCAATCACATACTTGTTACACGTTTTTTTATTGTTCGGTAAACTGTTCTACAGCCTTTCTCAATCCAAAGACTTTGTTTGACGTCAGAGTTGAATGTAATTGGTGATGCTCTTATGTTGCCTTCACGCGATCCGCGTAAATACCTGACTCTAGGCTTCCTAACTGTGATATAATAGCCATTATACGACTCAATGTGTCAATGCTTTTGTTGGTTCTGAAAAAATACCAGTCTACATGTGATATATAGAATCTGTATATAGATACATTTAAGTATGTAACACATATTTAATATTTATTGTATTGTATTAATGTATTATAATATTCTTTAAACTGTTTCGACAACATGTTTGAAAGCTATTGGAATTTGAATTAGTAATAGATTTAATGAGAGAATTTTAGCTGAGTTTATTACGATGTCATGCATAGTCTCTTGAAAAGTGGGGGTGATTTTCAAATATGTGTACAGTCTATGGTATGGTGTTTTATGTTTTCTGTGAGTGTGACCGTTTTGGAAATGTCGACACTTTTTTGAGCACGTGAAGGCAGCATCACAGCCCTACCGCCTCGGCTGGGAGGATACAACCGTTCCGATTAGGGCGACCGTTGCCAACGATGCAATTCCTCGTTTTACGAACGAACCCTGGGCACAGGCACCTCCTGAGTGCCGCGGTCACCACCGAGAGGCTGCACCACCCTCATCTTCTCTGATAATTTGCGATAAGCTTCAATTGACAGCACCCGAAGGACTCCAAGGCACCCGGCGAAGACCGGACTCAGGGCTTTATGTTTACCGAAGACAGGCTGGAGAGGTGAGCTGAGCGAGTCGTAGTAACTTTAGCTTGCTACATGCTACATGCTAACCACGGCTAGCTGTGAGATATTTAAAGCAGTCCCTGGTGTACCTGTGTGGTCAGCGCTATGTTACGTGGATACATGTGTCTGTGTAGAGCACATTGACGGGTGGGTTTGTGAATTTGCAGGCAACGTCGTAACGTTAAAGACGGAAAGCAGTTAACGTCAGTCAGATTGCTAACGTTGATCAATCAATGTACAACGAGCTAGCCCCTGGTAACGTTCGGCTAACGTCAGTTGGTTGTGCTACCGCTGGGCCCGTTATGCAGCTGACTTCTGGGCTAGTTTGTCAAACTCAGCGGACAGCGGACCTTACATGCGACCATGGGAAGCCTTTATTTATAGTTTCAGGAAAGTTTAACGTGGCTCATTGTAGCAGGACGAGGCAGCACATGAGGATAAATGAGCTAACGACTGTGCAGAAGCCATTCTGTCAAAACAACAGCTACGCCTCCTCTGAATATTCGGCAAACGGGGGGGGGGGATTCAGGGTGCAGTTTTTATGCGTTAAGCTAAATATACTTTTTGTACAATGCTCTTAATGACGCGCATTTCATTCTGTAAAATAGCCAACCATTATTCTGCACAATGCTTCATGATGAGAAAGGGAGTGGACAGGTGTATTAGTATTGTCAGATGTCGTAAATTTTATTTGGACTCAGTCAGTGTTGATTGTAACTGTAGTAATTCTGTGTTTCTCATGTCATTCAGGAAGCCGGAGCCATGGGTTTCTCTTTTCAGCCTTTGATGAACTGAACTAAGCTGGACTCACAGGACTCAGCCAATCAGTCCCTACCTGCAGTGGGGGCTCCCCTCTCCCCATCGCACTCTATAGCTATGGCAGGCTTCAAGCGGGGCTATGATGGCAAGATCGCTGGCCTGTATGACCTTGACAAGACGCTGGGCCGCGGCCACTTTGCTGTGGTCAAGCTGGCACGCCATGTCTTCACCGGGGAGAAAGTGGCGGTGAAGGTGATCGACAAGACTAAGCTGGACACTGTGGCCACGGGTCACCTCTTCCAGGAAGTCCGCTGCATGAAGCTGGTCCAACATCCCAACATTGTGCGCCTGTATGAAGTGATAGACACTCAGACCAAACTTTACCTCATCTTGGAGCTAGGTGATGGAGGGGATATGTTTGACTACATTATGAAACATGAGGAGGGTCTGAACGAAGAGCTGGCCAAGAAATATTTTGCCCAGATTGTCCATGCTATTTCCTACTGCCATCGGCTGCACGTGGTGCACAGGGACCTCAAACCGGAGAATGTGGTGTTTTTCGAGAAACAAGGGCTGGTCAAGCTCACTGACTTTGGATTCAGTAACAAGTTTCAGCCGGGGAAAAAGCTGACAACCAGTTGTGGATCTCTGGCATACTCTGCACCAGAAATACTGTTGGGCGATGAGTATGATGCTCCGGCCGTAGGTATGCAAAACATGTAGGCTGATGAGTGATGCTAAAGTAATGAGATGAGTCACACTCTTAATTAGAACATGGCAGAGTTATAGTGCAGTGCTACCAGACAGGATGCGAGCAAGATCTTTGATTCAGATCATTTAGGAAACTATATTGATTTTGCCCAGGCACTGTAATCATTTTATCTTGTATGATCCATTCTCTGTTTTGAGTTGGGCGGACCAGGCTTGTTGCCTGTGGTGCCAGCTCAGTGTCCAGTCCACTTATTAACTCCCTTACCTCCTATCTTTGTGTCAGAACACAGGCTTTTGGCATCAAGCTACACAGGACATCTTTATCAGTCATATTAAATCCAGCTTCAGAACAGCAGTGTAATGTAGTTGGCACTGTGGCTAGCATCTGTTTCACACATTTTTTTCACACCTTGCTGTAACACCTTGGCTGTTGGTTTGCTTACAGAGCCTGGACATGTGTAATGGCTTTTCTTGGGTTGAGATAACTTCAGTACAGAGCAGCCATCAATCATGTGCCAGGGGCCTGTGCTGCACTGAATATTCACAGCTCAACTGTGTGTTCTAGTTGTTTGCTTGTAGCAGTACTTGACACTGATCATTTTGCAGCTTGCCATAGGCCATGTGTTACAAGGTCAGCTCTACTAGCACTGATGTCCATGGGTGTCCCATTGCACTAAATTAACTGGCTCATTGATTTTCTATGAGGGCTGACAGAGTGCAGACAGACGGATTGTGTGTCCGTCCATGACTGATATGATATCTTTCACATCAGGTAGCTTCATAGCACTAGGTCCAGCTTGTGGACTGGATAATGAGATATGCTCAGTTAAGCTTGTTTTGCAGCCGGTGTGGTTGTTGATGTGGTGCTAATTCTGAAGGAGTCTGAAATCGGCCTCATGATTGTTTATGGTTGTGGAGAAAGCAGTCACCTAGGTTTTATTTACTTCCCCTTTTTTCTGTCATGGTTCTCACAAACTGAAGACGTACGGCAGAGAAAATGAGGAAACTGTGGTTAATTTCAAATCGAACCTGACACACAAACCGGCACACACTCACTCATTTGAAGAACTGTGATATGATAGACCCTGGACAGTGAAGGTGGTAGTATATTGCTCTGCAGTACTGCCCTGTGCTGCTTGAGCAATTGCTCACAATGAAGGGAGTTGATTGGCGGGAATACAATGAAACATGAAGTGAGTGGCTGCATATGGTGCACAGGGACCTGATGGTCAGGGAACATGGGGTTCTTACAGGAGCCAGGCTGGTCAAGCCTACTGCACTCTGATATGAGCAGTGTTATGAACACCTTTGTAGAACTGGATTTTGAATTTCTATTTGTCTTGAATGCGAAGGTTAAGTATTTTAATTAACAAGTTCTCATACAGGGATTAATATTACAGATATGAAATCATAACACCAGGTGCAGGGAGACAGCAAGATATTCTCCTAGAATAAAAGTACTGAAAGACCTGGGTTTGTTAAAATCCTGTAAGCACTGACATCTTTTCTTCTTCTATGATCTTCAACATACTGAAGTTACAGACTAAGTAGGAATAGAAATCAAATGTCAATACTTTCTTTTCAGTATCAGATATCTGGTCAGATGGTTCATCTTGTTTATTTGTTCTTTGTTTAGATACTTCCTGTTTCAAATCAAAATTTTGACAGTTTTAACTTCTCTGGTTGTGTGTACTTGGACATTTTACTTTTAAGCACTTCCGCTTCTCTTGCCAGATGAAAGAAGTTAGTTAGTACTGTAGGAAAACATGCTGACAGTATTTTCCTCAAACTAGGACATTGAAAAAGTCAGGCCTTTGGACCTGAAAGTAATTAATCAGCACTTGTCTTGAAATAGTACTTAGAAGTGAGGTATGATTAGTGCTCACAGCTTTGAAAATACAGTTGTGGTGCTTTGTAAAAGGCATATGCTTGTCATGTTGATTGATGCTTGATACCCATTCACAAAACCCTCAGTTTTTCTTTTGTGGCTTTAGACTGCAAAGTGTCAGTGTGCTGTAAATTTCTAGTTAAAGGTTTGACCAAAGACAAGACAGAATGAGCTTTAAACCAGTCCAGGGGATCAATGTGAGGAGGTGGGCAGTTGTCCTGGCAGTACTGATTTAGTTTGGTAGTTATGTTCTGCATTTTCACGTTGCGATATTATATAGCTCGTTACATTACCAGATGCCAGTAAAAAACTGGGAAATTAACATGGCAGTTGCATAAACTGTTCGATTTTTTTCAAATTTTATGACTGTTCAATTATTAGAAAATCATCCCTACTGGTCACTGCAGGTATCATTGATTGTTAGCATGGTAACATTGGTCTTAGGCCTGAGTTAGCCTGGAGGTAAGGTGTCTAATGTTTTTGGCTTAAAATGAGTCAATCTTTATTTTTGTGAAACAGTCTGACTAACATGAGACTGATCTATGAGCAAAATTAAGACTGGACCAATACTGGAGTCTGGAGAAATGGAGTCATCATTTATACTGGCTGCTCTTCACTGTATTAAACTGTGTTCTGGTGCAACTACAGATGCTGCAGGGGGATTTATGAACAGAGGTTTGAGTATCCAGAGCATCAAGCCAAAAGTGAACCCTGTGTATGTGTATTTTGTTGTTATGTAGCTGTATGAAATGCCTTTTCCATTCTGTGAATTTGTAGTGTATTACTATCTGCAGTGGTTGTGCGGAGAGGCCGTTTGCCTCTGTTCACCCAGGATTATTGATAGTCACTGTCCATATGTAACTCACTATACATGATTGTGCTGAGCAGAGCTGTTTAGTAGATCTAGCTGTCTGCGCTTTCTGCCAGGTGGCTGCTGTGTGTGATGTACTTACAGGCACTGGTAGCAATTTCATAGGTGCTACTTTTGGCTGTGTTGTACAGTCACAGCCCTCTGCAGCTGTTGGGTTGAGTGTACTCGGAGCCATTGATGGCCACTCTCTGGCGCTGTGTTTATCTGCTGGTGCTCTTCTGTGCGTCACAGTGCAGTTTAGACAAGTGCTGCAGGGGCTGTTGTGATCAGAGCAATTAGCCCTGTGTGTATGTTGCTCTAAAGAATGAGGGGAAAGTGGTTACTAGAAAGGTGTTCTCTGTGCATTTTCCAGCAATATGCAGCCCAGTCAGGTGCTTCTCATATCAGGGAACTTCAGAGAGGAAAGACTGGTGCACACCAACACTCATTATGGATTTTCCTTCGTTCGTCCTCTCAGTGTTCTCCAGTCTTTTCTCTCTGAAGTGAAAGTGTTTGTTGTTTGCACATGTGCAGCTCAGACCACAGAAAGGTTTACTTTAGTTTTTCTTGTGGCCTGGGGAGCAGGCTCGTCATCTACTAGACTTAACAACAGGATAGGAGTGTGTTTGTTCGTATGTCTGGGAGATAAACATGACGATCATCTCTTCAGCATAACTGAGAACCACATTCCGTGCCTTTGCATTTCTTCATGTTTCTCAGTGGTGGCAGGATAAAGTGTAGTGCAGTTAATGATAATTAGTACTTTCATTACATAGGTGATGTTTTACCTTCAGACAGGCTAAAGATTTTAGTCAGAGGTCAGCATGCTCTTTAGCTGAGCCTTCCTGTCTACAAGTACCCATTGATGACCCATATCAACCTATGTATGTGCGCCTGTCCCCTGTAAAGCTGTTTAGCACGAACCACGAGGGAACCTGAACCTTGTCTTCAGAGAGGGGCTGGAGGGGCTCTTATATACACTATATGGACAAAAGTATTGGGCCACACTTCTTAATCATTGAATCCAGGTGTTTCATTCAGTGCCATTGCCACAGGTGTATAAAATCAAGCGCCTAGCCATGCAGTCTGCCTTTACAAACATTTGTGAAAGAATGGGTTGTTCTAAAGAGCTCACTGAATTCGAGCTTGGTACTGTAATAGGACGCCACCGTTGCAACAAGTCAGTTCGTGAAATTTCTTCCCTCCTAGATATTCCACGATCAACTGTGAGTGGTATTATTGCAAAGTGGAAGCTTTAAGGAACCACAGCAACTCAGCCACGACGTGGCAGACCGCGTAGAAGTTACAGAGCGGGGTCGCTGAGTGCTGAGGCGCATAGTGCCTAATAGTCGCCAGCGCTCTGCTGACTCAATAACTTCCCTGTTCCAAACCTCCTCAGGCACAAACATCAGCACAAAAACTGTGCGCCTGGAGCTTCATGGCATGGGTTTTCATGGCCGAGCAGCTGCATACAAGCCTTACATCACCAAGCACAATGCCGAGCATCGGATGGAGTGTGGTAAAGCACGCCACCACTTGACTCTGGAGCAGTGGAAACATGTTCTGTGGAGTGACGAATCACGCTTCTCTATCTGGCAGTCTGATGGACGAGTCTGAATTTGGCGAATGCCAGGAGAACGTTACCTACCTGACTGCATTGTGCCAACTGTAAAGTTAAGTGGAGGAGGGATAATACTATGGGGTTGTTTTTCAGGGGTTGGCCTAGGCCCCTTAGTTCCAGTTAAGGGAAATCTTAATGCTTCAGCTTACCAAGACATTTTGGACAATTCTATGCTTCCAACTTTGTGGGAACAGTTTGGGGAAGGCCCTTTTCTGTTCCAGCATGATTGTGCCCCAGTGCACAAAGCCAGGTCCATAAACACATGGTTGGGTGAGTTTGGTGTAGAAGAACTTGACTGGCCCGCACATAGCCCTGACCTCAACCCCATCGAACACCTTTGGGATGAACTAGAATGGAGATTGCGAGCCAGGCCCTCTAGTCCTACGTCAGTTCTTACCTCACAAATGCTCTTCTGGATCAATGGGCAAAAATTCCGTAAATTTCTGTTATAGCTGCAAAAGGGGGGACCAACTCCATATAAATGCCTATGGATTTAGAATGGTACGTCATAAAAGCTCCAGTTGGTGTAATGTGTAGGTGGCCCAGTGCTTTTGTCCACATAGTGTATGTCCTGGTTACTGTTTCCTGCTGCCAGTAGATGGGAAGAACAGTTAATCCATGCTATTATTTGGACTG